TCTTCGATATATCTTCCACCCTGATCTTTTTCGCTGGTAATTTTTCACCCGACAATTGCGCTACGCAAAATGGAAAAGCTAACAATCGCTATCATCGAATCGCTTCTCGATATCGTGACGAACTATAATTAGTTACAGTGACGACGTACCGCGTCTACGATCCTGATGACGTTCGATCGAGCCCACGACTGCGGCCCGGAAGAAATCAATACGCCGCTCCGAAGACACCGACGATTGGTCGCGTCCATCAAAGATGAAAAGAAACTTCCTCAATAGATGAAATGGAGACAAAATAAAATATAACTCAATAAAGGATTGTTATACGAAAAAGAATATATTAAAATCCTGAAATCTCCCTTTTCAATAATACATCAAATCTGTCTTATAACTGAATTTATTAAATATTTTATCCGAAATGTTAATAAATCGCAAAGAAAAAATTGTTAATTACACATTTGTTATTTACGAAGGGGGAGCATAATTCATGAATTGAAATGCTGATTGCACTGTTATTTTATCGCCTTACCGCAACCTCGATGCGCTCCCTTCAAGTGTAACAATGCAAATTCGCATGAGAGGCGCAAGAATTCCACCGGAATATCCACATGAAGAAGAGAGAGCCACTTTATCTCTTGTCGGATTCTCGAAATATCTTCGCGTTTGTATGAACGCTAGCGGCACGATGACGTAAAGAGGTGCATCTAGTATGCACTTTGGTAGCGCGCGCATCTGTGTGTGACGGGTCTGGGTGAGAATACCCAATTCTAAGCGGACGTTTTTATGTCATATCGCGTGAAATGTTCTTTTATTGAAAATTCCTTTTTCTTCTATTCTCTTCTCTTATTCGGCAAAAAATATTTAATAGATATAATTTCTATTTTATTATACGAAAATTTGATTAAATAACTTTGTAGCTTTTTGTCTCGTGCGATATGGCATTCTGCATAAAATATTGATAATGTTATGACAATTATATAGGTAATTAATTATATAAAGAGACAAATCTCTTTATATAATATTATAATCATCCCTGCAATTAAGTCTTAAATCTATTCTTCATTAAATGTCTTATTTGAAATTAATTAAATGTAATTTGTTATTTACTTACATTTTAGAAGAATAAATATTTACCGTAAAATGACATTAAGCATTCTATAAATTTCGATTTAAATAACTCTTAAGTCTCTGTTTGAAAGAAGAGTTACGAAGAGTTCCAATATCGGAAATTTCGACATTACTTATTTTCCGATTTATTGACATATCGACATTGTCATATTGACCTTATATTTTACATTTTGATTAAAATCAAATATAATTAAAAAATATTAAGCTAATTTATTTTTCAGATCTTTTTAATATTTAAAATTTCCATAAAAATTAAATTTTTATTTCTCTACAAAATTTAAAAATTATTATTTCCAAATTCATCTAAAGACACTTGATAAAGACTTTTGTGCGTTTTTTTATAATACTTTGTATGTTACATTTGGCTTGACTAATCGAGAGACATTTTTGATATAGCAATATTTCAAGTGATAGCATTAAATTAGTATATAATGAAGATGCATGCCTGATTTATAATTTATATATAAAATTGCTCGAAAACGCGTACTCGAATTATCAAACAAGTATCTAGACCAGTTCACGTTCGCACGTTCGAAAGTATAGTTCGCGTTGCGTTCGGTCAGCAAGTTCCTCACGTTGTTCTTTGATCAGCAGAAATCGTTCGTTTTCTCGAAAACATCTCCGTGTCGAACATCACGGGTAGGATGCACTCTCGGGAAACATTCTACACGATTTGTGCGAAATTCGAAGTTCGAGTTAAAGATTCGCTAGCTTCGCGGATGGATGACGTGGACAACGAATCGATCGAAAATCTGACCCCGTAGCCCAGCGACGTCATCGTCTGATAGAAGTATCTATCGTCAGATGATATCGTCGTCGCAATATCAGAAATGATGAATTTAATGATAAAATTAGTTATATAATGACGGCCTCTTTCTTTTTCAAAACTGTATATCATGCTAAATACAAACATTTTATCTTGCATGTCAGTAAATTAAATCTTCATGATTACTTTTAATCATCAACGTAATTGAATATACAAATAATTGTTTGACTATATATTGTAAAAATAATATTTTTTATTTATTCATGTTTCCAATAATTCGATAAAACTAACATAATAATAAAGTGTTCTTTTTTCCTTTACTTTTTTCTTTTAATCCATTTTATAATAAAATAAATGCAAGTTAATTTATCGTTTCTTTTATTCAAAATATAAAGTACCTGATAATGTTACGCAAATAATACGACCATATGTAACCAAAATTGCCCCTTTATCTAATGTATAAGATACAAGCCAAATTCCCAAAGGAACAAAAGCAACCTAAAAGCATATTAGTATTATCTACAGATATATAGCACTTTGCTTGCAATATATAGCATTTTACTGGCGATATACAAAGCAAATATACAAGCTAGTACGATTATTTTAACTTGGTTCATGAAAGATGAACAATCAAGTAACTGAGCAGTCCTTTCCCTTTCTTATTAGTTCTATTATCTTGATTACGATTAAACGTATTTATTACGAGATTGTAATATTAAATTACGCCTATTTTATTTATAATAATTTTTATTTAATGTTAATTTAATCTTTCTCAAAAATTACTTTTGTTATCAATAAAATGATTGATAAATGTAAAGTTAATGTATCTATTAATAGTCGAAAAAGAAATAGAAATTATATAAAAATGCCTAGTACTAATAATATATTATGTACAAGTTATTTTATATAAAACTGATTAAGAGAAAAAAAGTAAAAAAAAACACTTTCTTATGTTATTTTTATGAAATTATTGGAAATATTGATAAATAAAAAATATGATTTTTACAATATATTTAATCAAACAGTTTTTGTAAATTCAATTACGTTGATGATTAAAAGTAAATGTGAATATTTAGCTATTGACATGCAAGAGAGGAAACACAAGCTATAATAGATAATGTAAATATAAATTGTGCGAAAATAATAAATGAGAAATAATAACAGAAATTATCAAATAATTAATATATATATTTTCTGTCAAAATAATCAATATGATCAAGATATATATATATATATATATATATATATAAATATTTAATTAATTCTTGTCATTATTCTTATTCATTATTCTCGCACATTTATATCTGCATTATCTAAAAGCTTGTGTTTCCTCTCTTAAAATATCAAACTATATCGACTTTGGCGGATCAACCTACACTTAACTTCTGTAGGTTGTGACCGATATCATCTTGTATATTCTGTACACATATCCAAAAGCTCTTGTCCTCTCTCTGGCGTAATAAACTAATTTCTTCCCACGTGGGAATTATAGTCTGCCATTACACTATCGTATAAATCGCATGTGTAGCACGTGTTTTATAATCTCTGCGGTATACACATCGTATGTGCACGTCACGTTTGATTGAATAAAACCTATAATATGCATATCTATGCACATAAATATATTCAACATAAACAAGATGCATTGAAAAGTTGTGCACTTGTTTGCAACTATAAATTATTTAAAAAAAAATAAATTTTATTAAAAATGTATTTATATTTTATATTAAGCTTATTTGCTTAACTTCTAACTTCTTTTTTTATTTTATTATATGCATATAACTGTGTAAGAGAAAACATAGAAAAATATAACATATTAAATATTTGTGAATTTTGTGACATATAAAATTATATTATTATTCTTGTGAATTATATTTATAATTTTAATTTGTATATTATGTATGTCTCTAATGCTATAAACATGAATTATATTAAAACTGTCATTTTTATATTTGTTTTTAAAAAATCGAAATAACATAACATGACTCAAATAATACTTACTATTTTGTATTCTTCTATCTTTTTCTCTAATAACATATGTATATGTATTTCTCATTTTTTTTTATTGTATTATCTTGATCATCTCTATATTTTTACGTTACGCGAAAGTCCGAGACTTTTGTGTAACTATCATATGCGATCTCATAATAGTACGTTTCTGTAGCAGCAATTTTGTAAATGAGGATTGGTTCACGAATATTCACGCTCGATAGCGACTACATCCCGTACGCGGCAACTCTAGTTCGCACAATCAACCACCCTCTCTCGTCGAGCTAAAATTAGACGGTGCACAGGGCGTAGGTTTATTCAAATTACTCGCGCGTAGTATTCGTGAAATAGTCTGCCGGATTTTCGAGACGAGGTAACCATTGAATTCCTGGCGCGAGAAGCGGAAGCGTCGACAGATGCATTCGCGACGATGCAGTTGCTTTGTCGCTTCGCGTCGCGTCTGTAGGATTAATGACGAACGCTCAAGATAGTCTACGTTTTTGTGCGAGTTTGTCTACGGTGAAAGAACACCGTTTTCATGAATAATTAATTATCATTTCGTTGATTAATTTATCTTTGTCGCTCGAGGTTTTTAGAGAAACTTTAAAAATCCTTAAATAATGATATTAAAATTTTCCTGAGATGAAAATTTTTCTTAATTTTATTAAATGCCATTTTTCTTTTTATAGTATTAGAGAATATTGATTAATTATTATCAACTATTATTATATAAATTGTCAGTATTATTTTTTCTTAATTATGATTTTTTAATTCATTATAATCCTCAAAAAATGATATTATATTGCAAATAGAACACGCAGTATTTGTATAATTGTCAAAATAACGTATATAACTTTCTATAAAAAAATGTTCTTTATCAAGAGATCGAAATTTCACTTTTCATATGGCGTAATTTATGAAGAAAGACTATGATCCAACATTTCATCATTAAAGCTTTATTAAAGACAAAGTAAATTCTCTTTGTAAGAAAGTTAATTTATCGATAGGGATTTGAAGGGCTTTAGAATGAACCGGAGGGTAGGAATTTAGGGAACTTTATAGAATTCCCACACGAAAACGCGACATGCAACTGTTAGTAGACAAAGATGTAAGTACTTACCGTGGTCTTCTCCAAACAACGAAGTAGGTGATGATGCTGCAGCTCAAAGATATCCTCCTTACAGTATTCCTCCAGCTGCAGCCCGCTCTCCTGAGCGGCCAAACGCGCCTCCGCTGCCTTCTTTTTGCTTACGAAGGCGGCGCCGCTCGACGCCTTCGCGATTCTAATGCGCGCCAATCTGGCTTTCTGCAACAGGAGAAAAACAAAAATTCGTCTTATTTATCTGTTTTTAACTCCCTTTATCTTATAGTCTTAACGCAAAATTAAAGACAAAAAATTAATTAACTATTTATCACAATACTTATATGATAATTAATAACTGCAATTAATATATAATGCAATTCTAAGATAAATCTGATAAATATCAAAAACCACTTATAGTTCGAGATTTTGAGATTTAAAAGTTTTCTTTCTTTCTATTCTGGTCCTTCTAGTAACCTATTTAAAAATTTAATTTGTCGAGCTAGCATAACAAGAACATGTCCATGTTTCATTATTTTAATAGAATCAAGTTTTTAAGTAATTAATTAATTACTTTTTATTTTATATATATATGTATATATATGTGCGTGTGTTTCCTTACAGACTCTGACATATTATGTAATTACTTCGATGCTCGCTTCAAAATGTATGATTTTAATCGTGAAAGTATACGCGAATGAATAAAACTCGTCGCATCAGAGATAAGTATTAGTATTATTTCAGGATTAAGTACGCGCAGCTTTCACCGCGGATAAATTCCCGCTAAGGCCGAATAAACTTTTATCTTGGCGACGTGACACACGGCGCCTAGACTTCATCGTGCCTCTTTAAATCCCCATTTTACGCCGCGTGGGGAAGCTTTCAGTTGACAAATGACCGAATTTTTCCGTCGCAAATATTTTACGTAAATTCTTACCGGCGAAAAAGACTCTTCTTAAAAAGATTTGCTTTCACCGGAAAGCAATATCTTCCCTTTCGGGAATTTTGTCTTCCCTGAAGCACAAAACTTTTCAGCTTGCATTTCATAATTTATGAAAAGATAAGTATAATACGAAAATTTTGTAGATATATAAATTAAAGTATTTTTAATAAGTACACATTATTATTTTTTATAATATGTGTATGTGCTTATATTTTAATATTTAATTTTTTTAATCGCACAATGTCTCTCATATCTTTAGAAAGATATTTTTATAAAAAAAGACGATAATTATTATAACATTATAACTATGAAGTAGCTAGACGCTCTATCATTAAAATTCTGAGGATCAATTTCGTTCGTTAAATGAAAGTAACTAATAGTATTGTTATTAATTAATTTTAGAAGTAATAAATAATAAGTTAAGTTGTAAATTGCTCAGCAGTTGCTTCGCTTGTTGGTTCTCCACCGAATTAATATTTCATTAAAATGGAAATTAATTCATTGCGTAAGTCAAATAATTATTATTATTATATAATTGCTAATTCTCATAATAATACAAAATGATCGCGTTTGGTCTAATATTTGTCATGTGTCAAAAAGAATACTAAGACATATGGAACCATTCACACTTGTCTACTCGAATTGTTGCCGAATGACAAGACTACGAAGCCAGAAGATTGCGACGGTCCAATGTCAACAACGCGCTTATGTTGACATTTCGCGCTTACATTTTCAAGTTTTACGTATAATTGTTATTTGTACAAGAAGACTCGACTAGAGATATAATAGCGCTAGACATGTCGTCTCATCTCTCGAAATATAATCGTGACAAATACTAGGACAAACGCAATTATTTTATACGATTATTAGAATTATTGTATGTATATTAGTAACGATTGGGCAACCATTATGTATTTATTGATTCATACAATTATTGCATCTTTACGAAACATTATTACGCAGTATCTCATGAAATACAGGATAAATTAAATTCCAAATATCATTATGGCGCATTTAATTAATTAGTACAATCGTTAATTTAATACATTTATATATGTACTTAATAATATCGCATATGCATTTTAATACTCTTAATTTTAAATGTATTTAAATATCAATGACTTATTGAACCGCGTATTTTACGCGATTTATTTAATCAAGATCTATCGCGTGCGAGTAATTAATGACCACGTATTCATAGCACACATTCTGCAGACATGTATCTTTATCTTGAATTCATTTATTTCTACTTACATTATTACACGATTTATAATTATCTTGAAATGAAAGCGTACACTATTTGTTAAAATTAGAAGTAGCATTGTCATAGAGAGTGATTGCGGGTTTTGGTCGTGCAATTTTGGAGAGTTGAACAAATATAGGTCGTAGCTTTATATATATAGTTTTTGCATAGTTTTCTCTCATTACAATATAATAAAGTTTCGTATGATTAACAGGAGTGTCGTACAATATCGCGCGATTGTTTAACGTAGTGAGCGCGCGTGAGATCATAATTAATCATATTTTCGTGAGTGAATACCATGAAATACAACAAAGAAAGAACAAGATAGAAACAGGAAGCTCAGAGAGCAACATCTGCGAAGTATTCCAATTGTAAAAAGTAAGCACTTTATAAGTTATCGTACTTATTTATTGTATGTAAAATTAATTGTTTCTTTATCTTTGCGACAGTGAATTTTTTTTCAACTATCGTGTAATATAACACATGTATACAAAATTATATTTCAGATTTTATTTTAAAATATTTAAATTACCTATAATCAAATATTTGTCTTAACATTTTTATATAGATACATGTGATAAAATATTTTATCACAAACATATGTATATTATGTTTAAGATTTATAATTATTTATACGGAAATGAAATGTTTATCACATACGCTTTAAACATTTATAGCTAAAAACATTTTTTTAATAATTATGCAATCTATTTGATTAGATATTTATAAAAAATAAATAAAAAAATTGATTATATAAATACTAATTAATTTTTTTATGTGTACGTATATTTTTCATGTGTGTACACATTTATATAAGTTGGATTTAGTTTAGTATTATTTTACAGATCAACATTGTATACTACAATTCCGTTGTTGCGCATCGTACCGGTGAAGGCTATTTTTTTACGTCATTTGTTATAGTCTACGAAAAAAAAATAATAAATATATATGTACTTATACACACACACACACACACACCCACACACATATATATATATATATTTATATGTATATAGATAGATAGATAGATTCACATTCATTTACTTTTTTAGATACAATACATTGCGAGTCATGAAAACAGAACGCAAAATAAAAGCTTACAGATCTCGTAAATTTTAAGTTATAGCGAGTAATATTACTAGCAGTTGAAATACTTCGAATAATTTATTTATAATCCCGGACAAACGAGAAACTATAAATAAACATATCTCTTTTCGCCCTGTATTTTTCTAAGCGTCTTTATAAATAAACGACCTTATGCAACCTTATTGACGCTGCATATAACTACATAATTAATTTTTCTTTTTTCTTACGGTTGACCTGCAACAATCATAGCGCTATTTTATGCAGGAAGAAATCTGCGCGCAACCAGTGAACGCAAATAATTTTCTTAACCAGTGTTGTTTAATTCTTATATGATTTTTTCTTAATACTTGAAAATTATAAGAAAGCATCATCATCGTTGCCAAATGCCACTTTTTTCACAAACTGAATCTCTCTTGTAATATCTGTTAAAAAAATAGTCTTAAAATTATTTAAAAAGTTTACTGTAAAAATATTTTAATATGTAAATTTTTTTATATCAAAAATTTTAAATAAAGATTTTTTTTATCTTTTTTCTTTTAATATTTTAACATTTTATTTTAAATATCTGTGTAACAATAACTTAAATCCTATATTATAATAAAATGTTTCTAAAATTTTAATTAAATTATTTTAAAAAGTTTAGATAATTATTTTTGCCGAAAAAATTTTGTTACATGTTTGCACTTCTTAATTCATAAACAATTCACAAATTCTAAATTTTTAATAATAATGTATGTTAACAATTAGAATTCTGCTATTTATTCTTTTAATAACAAAAATTATTATATTATTAATTAGCTTTTTAATTCTTTAAATTCTAAAAAAGAAAGTATAGAGAATTTTTCTCTGGAGAACTTTATATGTATAATTAACTCTCACAGATATTTATACAGATACTGGATGCATTCAGTCCCTCTTGTGCCAAATATTTTTATAATTAGCGTATAATATAAAATCGTTTTTTTTTTTTTTTTTTAAGAAACAATGAAAAATGTATAAATATAGTTGAATTAAAATTCTCAACTTGGAAATTTATTATGTAGAACATAGAAATAAAGTTCTGTTATGAATACGAATGAATCTACTACTGTGCAATAAATTGTTAGGCGATCGTTTACAGATATAACCATAATATTAAAAATAAATAAATAAATAAACTTTTTTTTTCAAGAAGAAGTTAATAACAGTCTAAATTAAAACATAAATTAACATTAATTGACATAAATTGAACATTAAACATACTTTCAAACATAATATCACCAGAGCTTTGATATAATAGAATAATATTGGTATTTCTGTGATTTTATGCGATATTACACTGTGAATAAATTTTCGAGAGACTCTTTTCCGGCCGCAAACGAGGATTAACAGCGTCCGAGTGGTAGCATATCGATCGTGCTAATTCTGTAACTTTCGCAACTTGTACTATGCAATTGCGGAAATTGCGACAGACAATAGGCGATAATTCAGTGTCCACGTCTCGAATTATCTTATGTAATCGTCATGAAAATATAAAGAATTAAAATGTATTATATTCGTTCTCTTGCGAGATTTTCCGAACGCTAATATACATATACATATTTTTGTGAACGATATCGATATTTCCCGTTAATCGGCTGATTAGAGATTAAAAGGGCTCAGTGTGTTTCCATCGGTTCTATTTTTGTTAAAAAAGGGGTAAAAGCACGTGTTGCAGCAACTGGAGGGTCAGAAGATTTTAATCGATAAAAGTATGGATATGAGAAGTTAAGCCTTTTTTCTTGCAAAGAAATTTGTTTTTTCCGATCTTTAGATTATTTTTATAAATGCATATGTTGTGTTTTATGTATAAAGTTAATAACACACGTGTAATTTTAAAACATACTTTTTAACTAAAATGTCATACATAATTAAATAAAATATGTGCAATATTTTAATAGTACAACACATAATTTTGCATTTGCATTTATATGC